AATAATAATCTATGAGGGGAAAAAACGGACGAGAGAAAATATTTTGATTGCAAAATTCTTGATTTTGATCTTAGACAAAAAATCGACATTAGGGATCAAAATACTCAAATTTTTACTAAGAATTTGAAAAGAATTTCTCAAACTAAAAAAGATGTTTGTTTTATGATTCAAAAAAAAATCCATTGCTTCCAGATCCAGAAACAGAAAAAAATCCATTGCTTCCAGATCCAGAAACAGAAAAAAATCCATTGCTTCCAGAAGTTTTTTTTGATTGGATGGGAATGAATGAAAAAATTTTAAAGCGTCCCAGACCAAATGGGGTATCTTTCTTCTTCTTAGAACTTGTATCGTTTGATAGTGCATATCAAATGAAACCTTGGTCTATACCAAGTAAATTACTTCTTTTAATTTTAAAAAAAAAAATTTGGAAGAAAAGTCTGGAAAGTCAAGCGTGAAAACAAAATACAAAACAGAAGAAGAAAATTTGGAAGAAAAGTCTGGAAAGTCAGGCGTGAAAACAAAATACAAAGCAGAAGAAGAAAATTTGGAAGAAAAGTCTGGAAAGTCAGGCGTGAAAACAAAATACAAAACAGAAGAAGAAAATTTGGAAGAAAAGTCTGGAAAGTCAGGCGTGAAAAAGTCTGGAAAGTCAAGCGTGAAAACAAAATACAAAATCAATCCGCAAATATAGCAAAATCCTAAGTTTATAATGGCCGAGGATAAGTGTTTTCAACTGGGCTGGGACACATCTGGTTATTATATAAGCAACCTAACGTGGCAGGTTGACAAGACAAGTTTTTCCCTGGCTAAAACCAAGGGGGCTGCAGGAATATCCCAGCTCGACTTCATGGTTAGGTTCTGGCATAGGAAAAATACGAGCTTCTATTTTCTGTTTTCTGAGGAATATGTAGATTTGACCTCTTTGTTAACCGAGGGAATCGTCTGTATAGAACCCCGTGGGCTGCTTGAAAAAAAAAGATGGACAGTTTATTATGTTTCAAACCATAGGCATTTCGTCGATTCCTAAGAGTCAAGACCAAACTAATCAAAACTACCAAGAGCAAGGATATCTTTCTAAAAATCATTTTGATGAAGCTATTTCAACCCATCAAAGAATAATAGAAAATAGAGATAAAAGTCGTTTTGATTTTCCTGTTCCTGAAAATATTTTATCATTTAGACGTCGTAGAAAATTGAGAATTCTAATTTGTTTCAAACCCAAACCAAAGACTAGAAATGATATAGATAGAAATCGAGTATTTTGGAATGAAAAGAAGAAAAAAACAGCACCCAAGTTTCCCGTGACAATAAGCATCTTGATAGAGAGAAAAATCAATTACTGAAATTAAAGCTTTTTCTTTGGCCTAATTATCGATTAGAACATTTAGCTTGTATGAATCGTTATTGGTTTGATACGAATAATGGCAGTCGTTTATTATTTGTTAATATTATCAGAAAAATAAAAATTATATATCAATTAATAACACAAGTAACAAGTGTTGTTCGTCTAAAATATATAATAATATTTATTTTTTGTAAAAAAGTAAATAGAATTTAAAATAATTTTTCTCATTTATTTTTAAATTTAAGAATAATTTTTACAATCTCTCGTGTAATACACGATTGTTGTACTTGTAAAATATTATTTGTGAATTGAATAAGAAACAAATAAAACCATAGTAATGCAAAGGGGAAAAGAAAACATATAAATATTTTTTAGAGAAATATGAATATCAATTTCTAAAAACAGATGTCTTTTAAAATTACTACTTATTGTGTCAGCGTTTAAATATATAGAATTTGTAAGAAATTGGTTCTCATAAATCATGATCATATATAATCAATTGAATTTTAAACAAATAAATAAATATAAACTTTGTAATATATAATGTATATTTTAATAATTACTTCGTAATAATAAAGTTCACAGATGACTAAGAGTATCATAAAAATTCTAATTTTTTTCCTCTCAAATATTTTGACAAAGGATATGCTTCTCAATAAGGTTTCATTGTTTTGGTTTGTTTTGTAATTATTGAAGAATCAAGAAAGAATATTTATCTTGAATCTTTCGAAACATTATGTATGATGCAAAAATGTTGGAAAATAAAAGCATTATAGAAATTATTAGGCACATAATATTGCAAATCCGAACAAATGTGAACAATATTATGATAAACAACTTTAAAATTTAAAAATGAACAACCTAAAAGTCCATTACATATTTTTAATTGCAAAATAGTAATACACTAATACTCATGCTATCTTATATTTTTAACTAATCACTATTATTTAATTTTTTTTATTTTTACAAAAATAAATCAACAATTTTAATGACACGGTTGGTTATTTCACAAAGATAATTCCGAGCTGTTAGTAAAAATATGTTATAAAGATCATACAATCATAAAGTTTGACAATGTATTTGGCCAAATTATTTCTAAGTGTTTTATAAAGTACACATTTTGCCAAATAAATTAATAAGACTTTCATGGACTATCGACGTATTTGACTCCAATGAATATGAATGTTTCTTATGAGAACGTCAAAATCAAATTAAAATAAAATCACTTTTTAATCATCTGACATGACTAAATAAAAGAACTAACGCATTTATAATATACATTATATTCTTATTTAGATATTTAGTGTTTTTCTTTTACTAGGGACTCATTTTTCATATATTTTTTTGGAGTTGTAATATGTTATTTCATTCTCTTTATTAGGATATCATTATGTTATTTTTGCAACAAAAAAAAATACATTTATTCTAGATTTTATTTCGTTCATGCAATGATATGTTTAATAAATTAATTAACTTATTTTACTAAACTTAAACTTATAAGCCAAAGACATTCATCACCAAAGACATTCATCACCACATGAAATGCACTTTCCTAGTATATATAAAAGGTATAATAATGAAAAGCTCAATGATAACCCAAAAATTTACAATTTAGTTTGACCCAGGAAATTTACCAAGGAAATTAAAGCTATTTGGCTTGGCCCAGTTCAGTTGTAGCAGTGTAAAGAAAGGAAAGTCTTAAGTCGGCTTATGTAGAAGGAGAGCATTTCCAAGAGTTAGTTCAAGAGGAAATTGCACCACATACTAATATATTTAAATTATATTACACTTTTATATCTTTTATATATTTATTTTTAAAATTACCTAAAAAGCTACAAATATTTTCAATTATACCTAAAAATTAATTTTCCATATTGTTTTCAATAAAGTCCACCGCCATCAGATTTTCTTTATCCGATATCAAGCAGAAAATCTCACGCCTCGTACCATCCGGTTTTTCTCTTCAGTATAAGTCGATCATATATCATCGTTCGTCGCCCATATATCGAGCAGATATTCAATCGCAGAAATTCCATCGATCGATTTTTTTTAAAAAAAAAAAAACAAAAAAATTCTTTGTACGATCATCGTACATCTCATGGCAAATTGATTATCCTGTCCTTCGAATTTGGAATTGGAATCGTAAAAAACCTCGGTGAATTGAGTATCTTGTCCTTCGAATTGTTGGGGAAGATTCTTCCTCTTTGGCTCGCAGCGCCTCTGGTTAGCACGGCTGCTGACGGGTCACAGCGATTTTTTTTTTCTCAGATTCTTTTTCTCCAGCTAGGGTTTGGTGAGAGGGGAGAGGGGAGAATTAGGTAGATGTTTGCTCAGCCGTTCAATTGCGCTGTCGGTGGAGAACACTTGCGACTGCGGGTGTTCGCCAGAGCGGGGGAGGAGATGAACTATTTGTGGGTTGTCGCCATTGATGAATGGATGAGGATTTGGGTGGATAAGAGGACAAATGGACAGTGGATGGAGATACAATAATCCAGTTGCGTGTTAACCTTGGTGAGAAGAAGATTTGGACTGAAGAGAGGACGTGCGAAAGCTATTTTTTCCGGCTACTTTTTGACTACTGAGGAAACGTGCGCATAAATTATGGAAGAAAGTGGTAAAAATAGTGTATATGTTCGGTATATCCGAGTAATAGCGTTGAAAATGTATATAATTCGAAGGTATATTTACAAAACCGAGTTGGGTATATGTTGGGTATATCTGAGTATATATCCGAAGTAACTTTTCTTTGGTTATCTGTTTAATAATTCCTTTTTTTCTTGGGTTATATGTTGGGTATATTCGAGTATATGCGAAGTAACTTTTCTCTAGTTATCTGGTTATCTTGTGGGTATATCCGAGGTAACTTTTCTCTCTATCCGAAGTATCTTTTCTCTTTCTATGCTATACACTTTGTCACTGGCTTTCTGCACCTGTTACATATTTGAAGTATATTTTTGGTGTATGCCAAGTACTAATTCCCCCCCAAATTTTCGGTATATTAGAAGACATAATTTTTTTGGTATAAATTAAGGAATTAATAAATGAATCAGTTATTATTTTTTATTTCTCTCTCTTAATCAAGTCTACAAAAAGGGGATGAAAGTTGAATATATATGGTAACTGCTATTGATGCAATCTCATAAATAAATTAGCTTCATTAGGTATAAATATAATTGAAAATACTTTCATATGAAAGTAAATTTGAAAATATTTGTATATCTTATAGGAGGACTAAAAATTTCCCTTAGTTCAATTGCTCGCTTATCAGGCGGAAGAGTAGCTTAGTGCCTGGCAGGAAGAATCTGAATTTTGCTCAGGGGGGAAATAACAGCATTCCAACTGCTTGTCTTCATTGTCTCTGGCTATATCTACTAGGAAGGGATGAGATCCATGAAGAAGTCAAAACCTTGCCGTCGAGCTATGGCTTTCAATGCACACATTCAACCATATCTACAAAGATCTGCATCCCCAACACATAATATTACTGTTGCAATGGATCATTGCTTTTAGAAGCAGAGGGGTGTTTGAAGCACCACTCCTCAGGTTTTCTCAATGTTGCGAAATGAAACAAAACTGTCACTTGACCTTCTTTTTTCCCCTTTAATTATATAAAGTTAGGATAAAGAAAACACAATTGCACACAAGAGACTGCAACGATCAATATAAAATAAGGTGACAATAATTGGATAACAACAAACAAATACAAAAGAGGCTCAAGAAATAATATACAGATTAAAATTAAAAAAAAAACAATAAAATATGGTTGAATGTAACAAATGCAAAGACCAGGAGGGTACATTGAAGTGGAAAAGCCAGGTCAAGATTTGTTTTTCTTCTTTTTTACCATGAGCATACATTGAAGTTTCCACAATAACCCACAGCAAGCCTAGTCAAGATTTGTTTTTCTTCTTTTTTACCTTTCCATCCATAAGCTCTCTCTTTCTCTCTCTCAGTCAGGAGGGTACATTGAAGTGGAAAAGCCAGGAGATAACAAATGCAAAGACCATGCAAGCCAACAAAAAATTGAGAAACCTGTGGCCCCGCCAGAAATTCTGAGACTGTGACGCTGCTGCTGCTGACGTAGCTATAGCATTTGCTTCATCCCACTGCTCCCTAGACTCCGCCACATTTACGCCACCTACATTTTGTGCTATTGATCCACATATCTCACATATTCTGCAATTTCAAAAAGCCAACATCAACATTCAATGAATGATATTTGAGAAGAGGATTCGATAAGCAATAACCCACACAACCCAACCGATAAGCAGTTGATATATAACTTTTGTAGAGTACAGTAGGTTAACTGCATCCGGTAAGCACTAAGCAACACAAGCATGGTTTGATACAAGTCCAATTACTGCCTGAGCAGCATTATTTTCTATTTTAATGATGAGGCATATCGTGTCTTGTCTAGGAAGAATTTTTTCACACAATTATGCTAATTCAACAACAGATTTTTTAAAGTAGAAGCAAAAGTAGTTGAGTATCAAGAGTTGGTAAGGTCTGTAGGTAGACTTCAGAGGTGAAAATATTAATGCTCAAGTTTCTACAACAATAAACAAATAAATAGACAAAGAAGAGGTTTTAGATACAATACAGAGAGGACCCAAAATACACGAGCACTTTTCGTATTAATATCTTAGAGAACAACATCGAGTTTGATTATGAACATATAAGAACTCCAGTATTTATGAAAGTAGAAGCATGCATAAACCCACATTGAGTTTGGTTCAATCATTTATTTTTCGCCCGCCTAGACCAAACACTGCCATCAATGGAGCTCGTTCAGTGGTCAACCCAACTTGTGAGGCCACATCTTCTCCACTCAACCTACATCAAATGTAGGTTCAACTACAGTCGATCTTCAGTTATCAACCACATAACGGTTATTGTTGACCCAGGCGGCCGATCCACGGTGGGAAAAAAAATAAAGTGTGTTTTTTTTCTCAAAATGGAAGAAAATAGGAACTATTTTTTCCTCAATTGTGCTGGAATAGATACTTAGAGAAAAAGTTCACTTCGAAAAATCTGCAATTCCAAAATATCATGAATTTATTAAGTGCCACATACAGTTTGCTGGAAAACCAGACCAAAAACCCTTACCTTAATTCCATTCTGTAATGAACAAACTTAAATGATTAAGTGATTAAAAATACATGAGCAAACATAATCTAATATGTAGAAAGTATCTAAGAATACAGCTACCAAAGTTAAAAATGATGAGAAGTTCTAGGAACTATCAACTCTCTGTCCCGCATCGTAAAAGCATAATAGGCTGAAATCAAGAGTACAATGGTAGATTATATATGCAACACAAATTCTTGTATGAGGCAATCTAACCATTAGGTGAGTCGAACACATCATACATTTTCAACGAAAAACATAACATGCTACGAAATGATATACTTTCATTTATGTTATTTTATTTATTATGATACTTCAATTTGAAAATATGGATATCTATTGAAAAAGTATGGTGGCCTAGCTGTTAGGAAAGCCTAACAATAGCTTCACTGGTATAATTTTCAATTTTATCAAAATAATAGCCAAACTGTTCATTTTCTTTTTCACAGTTCTAGTTCAACCTTGATATATTTGCAATTAAATACTCTGTGTTCGTCAAAAATAAGTTTTTCCATCTTGTTAAGAGTATAACAAATGCGGAAAGTAAAGAGAATAACAATATTTTAGTTTAGAATAAGACTATTTAACTGCAAATACTTTAAGGTAGAACCAGAACTGTAGGAAAGAAAAATGTTGAGTAATTTTTTGTGCTAACTGTACTTGTTCTCCCAAAATCCGTGAACATATATTTAAATATGCTGAACTTTAAGCCCCTCGATATAATTTCAAAGGAAAATTCTGCAAGATAGTATCATTTTAATGGGAACAGGACTCAGCAAAATCCAATAATCATATAAGCTGAGTGAAAAATCAGTTAGTGACATGCGAAATGCAAACACAGCCGTCGATATGTCATAACCGCATCCTAGCAATCAACATAAACAATTTAAACTTTGTTTTCTCTTTTATTTGAATCATTGCAATGATAATAATAACTCATTTGTCCAGAAAAGAAAACTCTAAATTGGGTCTTAATGTAGGACAAACTTGGATATTCGCAGATTTAAGAGGATATACCATAACATTGATGAACTTTAATTCGACTAAGCAAATTCATAAGCAGATAATCGAACATATTACCATTGTAGGGAGGGAAAAAAGGCTTCGGAACTGACACGCGTATAATTAGAATGCCATGAAATCTCCTAATCAATGTATAACATGACATGTAAAAAGAAGAAAAAAGGACATGTCCTTAAAAATTTAGTTGATTAAAGAAGCACGAACTTGTTGTATTCCATATATCCTTTATCATCTTGCTCAAAGCAGCTTATTGTAAATAGCCAGGTCAGCTTAGACAAAATATGAACTTGCAAGAGTTTGAAATAGTAAAAGACGGATTGACAGAGATAAAAACGGAAATCAACTATCCTTCTTCTGTAGCCTCAAGGATAATAACATGGCCTACTTAATTTGACCATTCAGACATGTTTTAAGACTATATGATTCCTAAGTGGCTGTAATTCAAATGAGCTAGCATCAAGATTTTGACATAAAGAAACCATAAAGCTAAAAGCAGTAAAATAGAGAGAGTACCCAGTACAAGGTAGCTCACTAAACAACAGACAATCAATTCAAGTAAAAATAGTAAAAAAAAAAAAAAAAAAAAAAAAAAAAAAAAAAAAAAAAAAAGAATCACACTATTTAGAGAAGCAATTTGAGTAAAAACAAAGAAAATCAGCCCAAAAAAGAAAAATTTGCTAGTGGTTTCATCCTTTTCTTTGTTATACAGATTCCTTACATCTCATATGCATGAAGTTTGTGCAGTTCTTTTTATCTTCTTCTTCGTTTATCTTTTGGCACCTACTGTTGCCACAGTTAGCCTTTTGTTCCCTCTTTAAAAATTACAGCTGTTTTCAGAACAACGTTTCACTATTATGAACCCAAGACAGCAACAAGCACATGCTGTATGATTTAGCTATTAAGTTCCGACCGCCAAACTTACAAAGAATCATGAGATAGATCATAATAAGGGTAAATTGCACCAAACTCCCCTGTGTTTAATGAAATATGCACGTTTCCCCACTGTGTTTTAAAAACTGCACCAGACCCCCTTATGTTAAGTAATTGTTGCACGGATCCCCCATTCCGTCCAAGTTAACCGCGCGTGTGTGACACCTTCTCTGGCTGCGAGATTTATTCAATTTCTTTATTTTGAGAATTACTTATTTACCATTATGCCCTCCTGAATTGTATTGCAAAAACTAAAAATTTATAGTGCAAGAAGTGGGACTCGAACCCGGATTGCAGAGGGAGGGTGCGCGCCAACAAAGCCACTAGGCTACATGAATGTAGTGTAAACTATTGAACAAAC